AGATTTTAGATGTGTGATTCGAATCACACAACGCCTTGAGTTGAATCAAAATGAATAGAGAGGAAAAAATAGTTGCATGAGCTTGTGATTTGAATCACAACTTACATATGATTTGAATCATGTAACCTGTGAGTCGAATCACATCTCTAATATGAGTCGAATCATGAAGGTTCCTTTAGCCTCTTCCAAGTTTAAGTCAAATCATGATTTACACGTGACTCGAATCACAACTTATTTGAGTCAAATCATGCCTTGTGCTTCACTCAAATCACAATAAAATGGGTTTCTCTTTAAGTGAAGATGTTGTTCCACATTACTTTGTAACTTGACTCAAATCACCAACTATTCTTAACTCAAATCAAACATGATTTTTTCATCATTTTTTGGGCTTCATCTCGAACACTTATAAATCATTTTTTACTCTAAAACCTTTTATAATGTTAGAAAACATATTTTTTTCATTGATGATTTGAAAACTCACAAACCACTTGTTATCTCATTTTCAAAAGAGTTTTGAATATTTCTTGAACAATTGCAAAAAAGTTTCTTCCTCTTCTATCTCATTATTTTTCCATTGTTGCATGGATCCGAATTTTATCTTGGAAGGTTCATGATTTATTGAGAAGATTAATTTTGGATTTAACGTTTGTTTGAAGATTTTTTAAAGATTTTAGAGGCTTGCAAGAGTTTGCAGTGTTCTGATTGGTTCTGACAATTCCAGAAAAAAAGAAGGAGATTATTCTGTCCAGGTTGACCTTGGTAGTGCTGTGTGGAAGCCTACAGATAAGTTAGATGTTCTTCTTAATCTTCGGACAGACCAATGCTCAAAATACTAGCAGAATTGTGTGGAAATTATCATAGAATGAGACTTAGGAGCATAATGTTAGGGTTGGAAGATTAAAGAAGTGATCTCAAGTAAATATTTCACATAGAGTTCGATTTTTGGAGTTGTGTACAAGTCAAGATCCAGAAAAGAAGAAATTTAATTTTCAACATTTATTTTTGGACTAGTGATTGTACGAACTCTTGTAATATTGTTGCAAATCATAGTGGAAGAACAACGAATTTTTAATGGACATTTATTGGAGAGTGGATTAAGCACAAAGTAAGGACAAATGTGTCAAATGATGACACTTTTTCATTACATGTTTTTCACGAGTACTTGGAGTGATTTTGGTGAAATATCAAGCAAAAGTGCCAAGGAATAGCCAAGATTGACCAAGTGAAGAGAATTGGAGAAAAATAGCAAAATTTGGGGAAAAGGGGGCACAAAAAGATGAAAATTAATGGATTTCTCACGCGCCATCGTGCTCACGATAGAGCTTCATCACGTGTGTGATACTGGGCATTGTGGGTGCGATGGGCTAAAAGTTTGGATTGTTTCTGATGCGCTTTGATGCTATATACAACTATAAAAAAAGGATTTTCTGGTACAAAATTAAGGGTTATGCATTTTTTGACTAAAAGTGACGGAAAAAGGTACTTGGAGGCGATTTTGAAAGAATTGGAAGCCATTGAAGGCCAGACTCTTCAAGGATCTCACATGCTATCTTCATCTGATTGCTTGGTATTTTATTGTATTACTATGAGTAGCTAAATTACTCTGGATTAGGTTTGGCTAGATGTACTTGTTTTGAACTTGTTGGATCATATGTTTAATTTAATGTTATATGGATAACTGAAGTTATATTTTTATTTAATTGATTTTATTCATATAGTTTATTATTTGTGGATACACTGATTGTATGATTTTAGACGAGTATAGATTACTGACCCTAAGCCTATGAGTCTGACATAGGGTAATTAATCTACTTATGTCGATTGAATAGGGATAGGAGACCTCTAGTATTGGCATTTGAATCAACGTAGTGTAACAACGTCTGACTTCATTTATGTCGGTTGAATAGGGATATGGGACCTATAATAAGGCTAATGAGTTGTATAATGACTTTACCATCCATATAATGCATTAAACATCAACAAAGGATAAACAAGGGATTCACACAAAACCTAGTTTCTTTCTCGCATTAATTTCAGAACAAGTTAAATTTCTGCATTAAAACTTGAACCCCCTCAAATATTTACTTTTAAATTTGCACAATCATAACTTTGTACGATAATAATCCATGTGGATACGATCTTTATTTTTGTTACTTTGACATTATCGATACACTTGGCGAGAAGTCATCACCAAACCATTGTAAATCCTAGTGTACTATTCTCTATCTCACCCATTTAATTTCTTAGTTGACCGCATGATAAGGTTTTTTCTATTCCTTTCTAGAATTGTATGAAGGTGAGAAAAATACACAAAAATGTGGGAGGGGGTTGAATTGTGTTTTGTGTTTCTTAACTTTGCTTCTGATTAGAGTTCAGATTCTGATTATACGTCGCAGCGGAATATTAACAGAAGAAAATAAAAGATAAAGAACACACAAAGACTTATACTGGTTCCTGCCAAATAAGAGTAGTCCAGTCCTCTTGCAGCACAAGAGATTTTCACTATAACCAAAACATGATTACAATCTTTTATGCACATAAGCATAAGACTTTTCGTTGCTTAAACCCTCAGCCCGAGACCTCCTACTTAAACCCCTCAGGTCCTAGACTTCTGCTTAGGTTCCACGAACCTAATACTTCCTTACTTAAGCCCCTCGGGATCAAGACTTCTAATCAGACCCTCGGTCTAAGACTTCCCAAGCCCCTCAGGCCCAAGACTTAATTGCTTAAGTTCCATGAACTCAAGACTTCCTTGCTTAGGTTCCACGAACCCAAGAATTCTGCTCAGCCCCTCAGGTTTAAGACTTCATTTCTTAAGTTCCACGAACTCAAGACTTCCTTGCCCAGGTTCCACGAACCCAATACTTCTGCTCAGAATCACATTCTAAGACTTTCTGCTTAATCAACAACTGATCAAGACTTTTAATGCTCTAGCACATAGTAGAAGACTTACTTGGCTCAAGCTTCTCAGTAGAAGAATTTGGTGCTCAAGCACATATCAATAGACTTTATCTAAACTACTAAACAATCATGTTTAGCAGAATAGAGAATAAGGTGTACTTGATACAAAATTAGAGATATAGGATAATCACCATAACAAAGACCTTAAGCACTTAAGATTTCTAAGATATGCAACGTTTAAAAAATCCTAAGGCTTATTACAATTTACAACATATGATAGAAATTTTGCATACTCAATTGTGTTGCTTATTGTTGATCTTGTAATTCCTCCATCCAGGCATAAGTGTATACACTTCTATCCTTCTTGGTTTTCCTTCTCTATTTGCCCTTTTTTTCCTTGTTGAAGACATTAGTTTGAATCTTCAGCATTTTAAATAGAAGTTGTAGAAGACTAGCCGTTGGAAGAAATAACTTGAACAGGTGTCTTTGTTTTTCTATAGTACAAGAGACATTGAAGAGAGATACACCAAAAGATCTTAATCCATTGCGTAACATGTTTCATCATTGTGTCTTCCATGTAATCTTGTATTATATATCCGTTGAGAGAAGATATTTGTATAGCGTGTCAACTCTTCTTGAGTCTTGTGAACATAAACTCTAGCTGACAAACTGATTTGACAATGCAACTTGTTTTTTTGCAGTATGTACAACTCAAGCTTTATTACTAACTATGAATGTTCACAAGAAGCTGATACATTAACTTAGTATAGAGACAATATGTTGCTCTTCTGATGTTGAGGCCTTCAACTTCAGAGTCTACGCCTGACATCACTTACAGAGTGTTCTTCAGGTTTATATCCACCAAAAGCTAGTAACTTAGCTCCTCTCAAATGCGTCCTTATATTAGATTATGAATGTCTTCTCTTCAAGCTTTAGAACCTGCATACTAGAAACACACATTAGATAACATCATTGTTCTTTCAATACTTTGTTATCATCAAAATCCAAGGGATATATGTCATGAACAAATCTTGTTCTAACGTTGCATGTTGATAGGATTTTTTTATTGGTAGCGATCTATTGAATAAGTTGCATGTTTTTTTAGAATTGGTAATTCAACCTTGTCTTAGTGTCGATTAAACTTGAAGACTTTGATTGTAGAATCTTGTATGTGATTGAAAATCATTTGATAACACTCTTGTGGAATTAAATGATTTTGAAATACAATTAATTTGTTCATTTGGTCTGATACTATCCTCCAAGTTAATATATTGCAAACTGTTTAAATACATTTGTGAATCTCTCAATCGATAAACATAATCTCTTTTACGCTTAATTTGCTTCTGCCACGCAAAATAAACTCTATTTTGCAAACATCTTTTTAAAACATCTTTTTAACTTGGAAAATCTACTCACCATCCTCTAAACTATTCATACTCCATATTATCACCAACCGTTCCTATCCATAGCATCGACATCATATGAGACAATGATGTTAGCAATAGAAGTATTTCTTGGACGCTCCTGAACTAAATTAGGGCTGACCTTCGTAGCAATTGAACCGAAAGAGAAAATAAACTAGATTTTCAAAAACTTGAATTTAAATATTTTTTAGTGTTATGAAAAGGTTTCAAGATTTATTTATATAAATGAAAAAAAATATATAAAGCAAATAAGAATGCAATCATGTCATAACTCCAAAGGATACTAAGAGATCATACCACCATAAATATCAATACATTAAATATCAATATCTCAAGAGTAACATGAACATTTAAGTAAATTATTTATGTATTTATTTAACTATTACTTTTTAAATTTATATGAAATGATTAAATACGAAAATCATTACGAATGAGATAATATTTAGAATATCCATTTTGGAGCAAGTCATACTAGCCATTAATAATTTTGGAATTGACTTGTTGACTGTTGACAATCAATCATAAAAATGCTTATAGCCGCTTTGTTTAGGTGGAACTTTCCCACTGTTATTCCTATCCATCTCTTGTTCTTTATAAAAACCCTTCTACCTCCTTTTGTATCCATTCATCCATACCCATCTCCTTCTTCTCTACCAAACCTAACAAATTATCTTCATGATGTTTAGTAAAAGTTTCAAACAAATTCATCACCATGGAAGACAAGTTGATATACCAAAAGGGTATGTTGCAATCAAAGTAGGTCATGGTGAAGAGCAAGAAAGATTTACAGTACCTGTGAGTTACATAAATCACCCTTTCTTTGTTCATTTGCTAAAGGAGGCAGAGGAAGAATATGGTTTTTCTCAGCAGGGTACTATAAGTATCCCTTGTCGATTGAAGGAGTTTAAAGATATTCTTCAACACATGATTGGCATGGAGAATAAGTCCCTACAACACCAATATCACCTTGTTGGTTGCTTCAAGGCTTGATCAATCAATTAGATTCTTTTAGGTTGTATAATTTGGTATATATATATTTCTATCTTCATGGATGTATATGTAAATTTATCATCTATATTAAGTAAAAGAAAATGGAATTACAAGTTTCTAATCTGCAACTTCGATTTTCCCGAATAATTTTGTGATATGGAGAAAAAAAATATAAATTCTAATTGATTATGAAATGATCATAAATATTTTTCTTTTCTTTTTTAATATGTAGACAAAGTGATCCAATGTTGAAACTTTAGTGTTGGGGCATACAATCTAACAATATTGGTTTATTAGATATTTATTGTCAATTGAGATAGGATTTGTGGACAAATAATCATAAATATTTATTGTATATTATTGTGTATTATTGGTGTAGGTTAGAATTAGAGTTTGGTTAATTTATTCTAACAAAATCGGTATGTAAAAGGATAGATGTCATTTTTATATAAACTGTTTTCATTCTCTATATGTAATCACCAATGTGAGAATTGAAAATTTCAATGCATCCCCTCACGCCCATCACTAATGGACTTGTTGTATGGATATGAAAGCTGATGAGGGGTGTGATCAATATGAGTTATGATCTATTAAGCGCAATGCTTTTTAGGATGTAATGATTTTCCTTTTGTTCTACGAGGGAGGTGTATTTATAGAGAGCCGTTGGGCCTAGAGTTTGAGTGACGACAACCGTTCCCTCCTGATTCGGAGAAGTGATTGACCACCTATCCTTCATGGGATAGTGGAGAACTTCCTCTCCTTTGACTAACGACATTACGCGTCACGAATACCCAAGGTGAGTCCTTAAGTTATCGCATGAGCAATACCGTTCTTGGGCGAGGGCACCCTAGTTTAAGACCCTCAAAAAAATAACATTGCATAGTCCCTCAAGCATGAGTACTTAGCTAAAGGGAAAGTGTTTTTAAGACCCTTTTTGCTCAAAATGTGCCCCTTGCCTTACTAGTGAGTCCCTAGGCCGATGCCATCCTTTTACAAAAAAAGGACGAGTACCTTAGCTTAGGGTGAGTCCCTCAGCCAAAGACGATTATGTTTAAAGAGTGAGTCCTTCAGCTATAGGACAGTCCCTTAGATGAAAGTATTTATGTTTAAAGGATAAGATCCTCAGTTGAAAGCAACTCTCCTTTGACGATTGAAGTATAGAGGGATACGTCATATTTATTTAGGTTAGACCCCAAGACGTAAAATCATCAATCACTACTTAAAGCTCGAGTGTTTTAGTGGGAAAAAGAGCATGGATGGAATTTAATGCACCTTATAGTGGACTTTCTTTGGAAATCAAGTTGGTCTCTATTTTTTTCACTCGTCTTCAAGGTGTAGAGACTTTCCCACTTCTCGTGGTAGTTATCCCATTGCATGAATGTATGGTGTGTACCATTGGGTTTACCCTATATTATTTCGGAAACCCTTTCTCTTCTTCTTTCTTATTTCTCTTTTTCTAGAAATGCACCTGGGTGAAAACATCTTTTATGCTTTTCTTCTCCCATAGGTCATGGGAAATAAAACTAGACTCGTTCATGTTCAAGATATTGCCTCCATGTATTCTACTATGGATCTGATTCATAATTTTCTTCATGGCATTAGATTTTCCAGTACAAATCAAGAGAGAGACATGATTATGGAATTATATTCAAATGAGGAAATGGATAACATGGATACTTGTGGTGAGTCGTCCGCCCCTTATTTGTTTGTCCACTTTCCCATTATTCATGAGTTGAGGGTTTTGATTATGCTTACTTCTTTTGAAACTGAGTTTTTGACGACCATTAATGCCACCCCTTCTCAGATTACCCCAAACGTGTGGAGCATACTCAAACCTTTTCATATAGTTTGTTGCAGTCTGGGCGTACCTCCTGTCGTAGGACTAAAATCTTTCCCACAAACTGTTAGAACACAGATTGGTTCTTAATTATATCTTTATGTTTTGATGATAACTCTTACAAAATTTTATATTAAAGAATTATATACTCTAAAATTTGTTCAAGAATGTTTGTTGCAGATATTAAAGTGAATATTATTCTGGAAGCAAATTAGATCTGAACATGAAATATGCAAGGCTTTGAAGCGTCAGAAGCATCTCTTAGAAGAATCTGAACGCTGCCTACAGAAGAATCTGAAGCAGAAGCCAGAAGCATCTGAAGCATTGAAGACTTTTGCATAAAGAGTTTCAAGCACAGTTTTTCAGAAGACTCTGATAGTACTGTACGCTGCAAGTACTGAGGATCTGATCCCAAACTCTGCTCTGAATTATTACACGCTAAAAGCACACTTGCTGCAATGCTCTGATTCAGCAAAATCTGATGAACATCAGAAGACTCTAATCACTCAAGGCTCTGATGGTATTTGCTGAAACTTGTTGAAGAAGAATTCAAAGTTATGTCTGTTGGTTTGGCCAGACGACTCTTTCCTCATTTATGCTAGACACAAGAACACAAACAAAAAGGATTTCTCTGTGCATTCTACTTCTAGGAAAGGTCATGTGATGTGAAGACAAAAAGGCTACAACCATTTTCAGTACACAGCCTTCAACGTGAAAACTACTTGGACCTCTGTGCCTATAAAAGCAAGACTCCATCACTCTTCTTCAGTTGACGAAATTAATTGAAAGAAATTCATTACAAGCTCTCATACAAATCATTCTCTTGCTGGATTTATTTTTAAGTTCTTAAATCTTAAGTGTAAAATCACAGTTATGATATAGCTTAATTAGAAGCATTTAAACACTTGTTTTATTCTTACATTTGATTGTAAAAGTCCTTAAGAATATCCAGTTGTGATCAGTTGTTCTTAAGAAGACTAAGAACAGTTGTTCTTAGTGCTTGCTATTGTAATCAGTTTGATTAATAGTGGATTAAGTCCTTGTTGAGAAAGGCAAATCACTCTTGATAGGGTGGACTGGAGTAGTTGAGTTCAACGAACCAGGATAAAAATCTTTGAGTTTTTATTGCTATAAGTTTTTCTATATACTTATTCAACCCCCCCCCCCCCTTCTAAGTATTTTCTCACCTTCAGTTGGCATCAGAGCTTCGGTTCTGTGTGTGCTACCACTTCACCGTGACAGAAAAGATCCAGTGAGAAAACTTTGATATATATTTGGTAGTTATTATGGCTGAAACTTTAATATCTAACAGCAACAACATATATGAAGAAAGGGAAAGAATCAGCACAAAACCCCTTATGTTTGATGGGGAAAATTTTGATTGTTAGAAGGACAAGATAAAAAGTTTCTTCCTTGGTTATGATGCTGATTTATGGGACTTAGTCATTGATGGGTATGTTCATCCCACTGATGGGGATGGAAAGAAAATTGATAGAAAATCAATGACTGAAGCCCAAAAGAAGGAATTCAGAAATCATCATAAAGCCAGAACAATCTTGTTTAATGCAATATCTCATACTGAGTATGAGAAGACACAAACAGAGAAACTGCATTTGACTTGTTTGAGTCTTTGAAGATGACACATGAAGGAAACCTTCAAGTTAAAGAGACCAAGGCTCTGGCGCTAATACAGAAGTATGAAGCGTTCAAAATGGAAGAATCTGAGTCTATAGAAACTATGTTCTCTAGATTCCAGATCCTCACAACTGGTCTAAAAGTGTTGGACAAAGGCTACTCAACTGCTGATCATGTGAAGAAGATCACCAGAAGCTTGCCTATCAGATGGAGACCTATGGTCACTGCTCTGAAGCTTGCCAAGGATCTGAACAAGATCACTTTGGAGGAACTAATCGGCTCACTAAGGAGCCATGAAATTGAACTTGAGGAAGATGAGCCTCAAAAGAAAGGTAAGTCAATTGCCTTAAAATCTAACAAATCTGTGAAAGCTTTGCAGGTGTTAGAAGAGAGTTCTGAAGAAGAAGATGAACTGTTCTTGCTGTCCAGAAGAATCAACAGACTCTGGAAGCACAAACAGAGGAAGTTCAAGAACTTCAAGAAGCCAGATCAGCGCAAGGAATCCTCGGGACCAAAAAGATCTGAAAAGAAGGAAGTTGTTTGTTTTGAATGCAAACAACCTGGCCATTACAAAAATGAATGTCCAAAGCTTCAGAAAGAAAAACCTAGAAGAAAGCCTGAGCATAAGAAGAAGGTTATAATGGCAACATGGGATGATTCAGATGAATCTGGATCCTCATCAGAATCTGAAAATGAATGCACCAACATGGCTCTGATGGCAGGCGTGGAAGATCAGAATGAAGGATCATCTGGATCTGAGTCTGATTCTGAATCTGACTCAGAAGTGGTACTTTATGATCTCACTAGGGAAGAGCTTATTAAATTCTTATCAGAAGTCCTGAAAAACTATAACCAGATTAAACTCAAATGAAAGAAGCTTAAATGCAATCTTGAATCTGAGAATAATCTGTTAAAGTCAGAAGTTGCTGAGCTAAAAGAAAACAATTTAAAAATAAAAACTAATTTTGAAAAAGCTCAACAAGACTCTGAGTCTGAAACTAAGTCTAAATGCAAAAACATTTTAGAAGAATATGACTTCAGCTTTCAGAAGTTTCTAGCTAAAAGCATAGATAGAAGCAAGATGGTTTCAATGATCTATGGGGTTAGCAGAAACAACAGGAAAGGAATTGGATATGAATCTTCCTCTGGAAAGGATTTAAATTCAATGCCTGTTGATAAACTTTTAATTAAGAAAACTCCCTTATACTCTCATTTCAAGTTTGGTCATCTTAATGATATCAAACACACATGTTCTGATCAGAACGTTCCGGTGTTTAAACCAAAAGTCAGTCAGAACAAAACTGTTGTAAAAAGACAGAAGTTCAGACAAACTTTCAAGGCAACTAACCCAAAAAGACCCAAAAAGATCTGGGTACCTAAGGATAAGATAATCCCTGTTGCAGATGTATTTAGCAGAAAAGTCAAGACGCCAGTCATGGTACCTGGACTCTGGATGCTCACGTCACATGACGGGAGAAAGGCTTATGTTCCAAAGCCTGGAGCTTAAATCTGGAGGAGAAGTGAAGTT